TTTTCTCTGCTTTATATGTTTCAAAGCATTTTTTTAATTTGCCTTATTCATCAGTTTCCACTTGCAGGCACAATTCTACTTCAAATTTAGCTGAAACATTGTTAGTTATGCAGAGATGATTAGAACTATTTCCTTGAGTTTCAAAATACAAAGTTTCCAGTCTTTTGCTCCACAGTGAGCTACAGTATGTACACACACTCACACACATACATATAAAATACACATTTGTATCTTTGTTTAAGTGTCATTCAGCAGGTAGGAGCCTTGGAGGGCAGAGACAGACAAGTGCATCAAGGGGAACTGACCTGTAGGAATAGATGTACAAGGACATGTTAGACTTTATAAGTAATGCAAATACCATAGATAGATATACTTTATTGATCCCAAGCTGGGAAATTGCAGCATCCAATCTGATCTATCAATGTGGGGCTTATAGGGCAGGAGAAGGAATGACTTTTCATGAATTTTCAGGGTGCTTGAGGTTCACACTGGTTCTTTACCTCAGGGCAGGGCTAGGGCACAGAGCAGCATGAGCCAGGTTAGCTTGTGAAGGCCTCGAAGTCTGAGTCTGAAACAGGAAGCAGGAAGTGTAAGACAAAAAAATCAACTTAAGTCCCAGTAATGTAGTACAATAATGTTTTTCACATTATGAAATTTAAAAATTATTTTTTATTTCTTTGATTTCACAATGAGATCTATATACAGCATACTACATGACAATGGACTGAAGTCATTAAAAGGTGATAACAGCACATTGTTAGCTAAATTTAAATTGAAGCGGAAGATACCGGCTGAAAAGACAGATACAATTATATTCTGTGGCTATTTTAAATTTGTGATGATTGGTGCAGGGTAGCTCTTCACTAAGCAGCCTTCATAAACAGCCTTTTAATTAACAACAAAACAGGTGAAACTGTCTTACTCAAAAAACAGGAAACTGTGTGAAAGGATTTCTGCACACTGATCAGAGAACACTGTACTGTACTGTTTGCAAACCAGCTAGAGGAGGCAAGAGGAAAGGGCTGAAGATGCAGAGATGAGAAGAGAGATGAGATGAAGAGACAGCTTGTTAATGATCAACATTCTGCTTTTTACGGTCAGTATGGGAAGGTCTTGAGCAAGTAAATATCGACACATTGGTTTGGACAACAAGTGAAATAAAATGCATAGTAAACAAGTTATGTTGACCTTTGTCGGTTCTAAAAATTATTTGGATAATAATTAAATTCTTTTAAAAATTGCTGATCTACATCTGTTGTGTTTTATAGAATCAGAAAGTAAGTCTGAATCATTCAGAATGAATAAAAGGGCAAGCAACACTGCAGTTAATTTTCCATTTTAATATTACTATGTATTACTATTAGTTGTAGCAGTAAATGTAATAATAGTATAGCATCAAATCAGTGGTAATTAGGGGAAAATGCAACTATTACTGCCATAGTCTGAAAGAAAATCAAATATCCCAACTCCACTTCAGCCCAATCTTTATTTATCTTTTGACAATCTGGAAATAAAAATAACAAAAACACATGGCAGCTCAATGTAGTACAAATAATACAGGTAGATTTAAAAACAATTTGCCTCCTTCTCTCTCGTTCCCTCTCTATACGCAATAACAGTTTATGAAAAACAACTCAGTCAAAAAGGTCAAAATGATTTGAACTGGTTTAAACTGACATGTTCCCACAGCTGTGCTTCATTATTGCCAGTTACAATAGTTATCCTTAAAATGAAAGCAAAACTCATGCAATGTAAAATAAATCAAGCACTCATGAAAAACAACTGATAAACCAATAAACGTATTGTGCTCTATAAGTAGTGTAAATTAAGAGCAGGGGAATAGACACTGCTTGTAATAAGGTATTTTTTAAGACAGGCATGTCTTTCAAGGGTATTAAAAATTATATTTTTATTAAAAATTATATTTTGAATACCTTTTTGGCACCAACAGGACTTTCTGTTCCTTGATACACCAACAATCACATTTAAAACAGTTATTAGTATTGTATTATGACTCTGTGTGTGCGTGTGTGTGTGTGTGTGTGTGTGTGTATGTTGTGTGTGTGTGTGTTTGTTTTGTAGTAACTCACAAGTTCGGTTGGCCTGATAATCAGACACAATTATGTAGGTTTGGTATCTGAAAAGTTACATTAAATTCTCTCTCTCTGTCTTCATAACACACCTATACCACGGAGACAGTCAGCGGTTTGTTGTTCCTCACATATACAGGACTGTGTGTTCATTTCAAACTATGTCTGACACAAAATTCATCCCAGCAGGAGTTAAAAGAGATAAATCAAACACTGTAAACTGCAAAAATCAAACGAAAACACAGACTACTAGATTTACTCTCAACGCAAAATATGTCCATCATTTTGGCAGATTTGTAATACTTTTTTTGTTTTGTTTTTCAAATAAACTATTAATCAGCACAGGTGGAGGGATGATTATGCCCTGGAACACAGTCTGTTTATTTTTGCGTACTAAGCAGCTGAACTGGAACAGGTGGGGTTTAGTGTTTCACTCAGGAGCACTTAATCAACACATGCTTAATCAAACCTAGCATGATTAATGGTTTAAAACCTTTTTTAAACACTCTCACAACCATCACAATGGAATTAAATTCAGTCACACTCACTCTGCAGAACACCTGACAACACTCCCAATCGCTAATGTATAGCTTTGCCATTTGCCTCTATTAAAATACATTTGCTTCCCTTGAAATACATTTGTTTCTGCAGACTTGGCACATTTGCTGTGGTTATGTAAGCAAAATAAACACATATTAAGTAGCCAAAATGTGCAAGGGCACCAAAAGGATCAAAATATAAAAGATTTATATGTATCAGTCACGATGCTGTACACATTCTACATTGTGCTTTGCCTTCCATCTTCGTAAAGTGCCGCCCCACCTCCAATCTACAATCAAAAATGGTTATTATATTTTAGTAGAAGTGCATTAAGGCCAAGACATGTACTTGCATTTCATGATACATAAGACATCAACTTTGCAACAGTATAAAAGCTGGGCTACTGGTTGGAACAAGTCTGACTGGGAAGCCTGTGTGTATACATATATATATGTGTCCAAGGTATTTATATTTGCAAAGTGTGTGAGTGTGTGCTTCAACTACTTTTTGCTGTACATATTCTAGTAATTAAGAGTAAACAGGGGTCTTTTTTAAAAATCAATCTGGTTTTTATGTCATGATAAAACTCATCAGAGAAAGTGCTTTGGCCTACTTTCGATTTTGATCTATTGTTTGTGGCACAGTTCTGATACATTCCCTTTGACTGAGAGTTGGAATGAGAAAATTCTCAACTGGCCCACACACACGCATACAAACACACAGACACGCACGCACACACGCATACAAACACACAGACACGCACGCACACACACACCATTACTGGGATTTAAATCCCTTCCAGCTCGGCCACATCTGAATCCCTTTTAATTCCACTTTAAGTCCACTAGTATTAGTATATAGCAAATCTACACAGAAACAATCTTCTGTATTTCTTCACACGATTACAACTTTAACTGTACTGGTTAAATTATAAGAAAATACAGCAGAAACCTTGTCAAAATTGACACTTTATCTCTTTTAGAGGTGTTAGGACTGCAAGAAAGCCTTGTGATTAGTTGAGGCACTGTCTCAAATTAAGAGTCTGGCAATCGCATTACATTAGAGCCTGGCTATAGGCACAACACTGAGGTAAGTATAAAGAATAAGGCATCCCAAATATATATATATATATACACACACACACACACACACACACACACACACACACACACACACACACACACACACACACACACACGCACACACACACACACACACTGTATTAGCACACAATGCACCCGCACTTCTTTTTCTTTTTCACACTGCTATCGCTATTTCTTATGGCGCGTTCAAACTCTTCTTCACTGCTTAGTGGTGTACTGCTGGAAGTTGTGGGTGACTCAGGAGAGAAGTCTGGTTCCCCGGTTCCTTCCTTTTCCCACCCACCTCCAGCCCCTGAGCCCACTTTACATCCCCCCTCTTCATCTTTCTCCTCTGCAACAATCTTTTTACTACAAGCTATGTTCAAATGTGTAGTCTTAACAACCCCGCCTCCTTTATGGCCACCGGTTTTGTCACTCATGCCCCCACCCCGAGCACCTGATATGTAGTCGTTAGCAGCTGCTATCTTCTGGGCTTCCATTTCTGACAGGCTGCATGCCAAAGCCATCTGCAGGTCTTCGTCTTCTTCGTCATCCTCGCTGCCTGCTGCAACCCCGTAGCTGAAGGAGGGTGCGGAGCTAAATGACCGTGTGGCTGCAGAGTAAGGACTGGGGCGGGGCCTGTCAGACTCAACGGGAGATCTGTTCTGGATTTGTGGCTTCTGAGGCGACTGATGGGGCTGTCCCTCTCGTCGACTCAGCTCCAGTGCGAGAGCCATTTCATCCTCCACGCCTGCGAACAACACACACGACAACACAGGTGAGTATGTGCCGAGCAACATGAAGAAATATGCGCACACATTAAAAAAATTATGACTAAGATCACACCATTCAGTGTATGTGGTCTTACCATTAACAAGGACACTCTTTAACACCCCATCCTCCTCAATCTCGATTCTTTCCTGCCCGTTTTCCTTTATCCTGACAAATTGATAGATAAATGATAGTATTAAAATGCCTCCAACTTTGTTTTTTTTATCCGTGTGTGTGTCACTGTGTTTGTTACTTTGTTGTATATAAATATAAATGCAGTCTTAATCTTGTAAAAGTCACGTCACCCTGTATTGAAACTTAAATGAATTGCTCTAACTGATGAGGGATATAATGACAGCTTTATAATCATATTTTATAGTAGAAGTAATATATAATCCTAAAAAAGAAAAATAAATGATGCAAATATTAAGTTTCTTTCAAATAAATTTAAAAATGAAAAAAAAAATGAAATAGTTTACCACACTGTTTATCTTGTTTTGTATCCTCGGGTTTACAGTTTGCATCACACCCTATAACACTAGGCATGATAAAAAATTGGAAATGTAAGACTGCTTTCCAAATTAGAAACTACAGTACCATTCTGAGCTGCAAACCAGTGTTAATGTTAGTTTCAATATTGTTTCAGTTTAAAAGTACAAACCGTAAAGTATAACTGTACAAAAATGATAGGTTTCAGATTTTTCTATTTATATTTCTCTTTTGTGCCTCAGTGCATTTCTCTATACAGCAAGCCACACCCATGTGCCCCAGGTGGAATAAAAAGTCATACTTGGAAACACTACATTTCCCAGGTTGAGTAACTACGCTAATCGACAGCATTACATACTTCTTGGTGGTGGTGCGTTTGCCATTTATGATGCGAGTGGAGGTAGAAACTGATTTGAAGTTGCCCATCCCCATGCTGTCCATCCCATTCAGAGCACCAAAGGAAGAGGAGAAGGAGGTAAATTCAACTGAAGGACAAATGATCAGGCGAGGAAAGCAGAAGAGAAGAGACTGATTAATTAACCAATACAGAACTTTAGTCTGTTGAAACATAATACCACTCCATTGTCATAGCCACAGAACGTGTGAATTTAAGTGGGCACAAATGCACAGTGAGATGTCCGAATATTACAAAAACAAGAAAAAACAACAAAGTGTTATGTCTTGTGAGTTTCACCAGTGAGTAGCCAAGTAGCATAGTTAGGTGCATAAATATAATATCAACATACATTTTGCACCAGAATAAGGTATTTTCAGCATTGTGGCCACAATATGATATGCTATGATGTGTATGATACTTTCACTATGCAACTTTCCTCATTAATTGTGTAACTTTTTACCTCCTGCTGAAGGAAAAGAAAAGAAGCGACCAGGTCCGAGGCGAGAAGACGAGCCTCCAAAGGATGAGAAGTCATCTTGATGAGAGAAAGAGTAAACACTTATATAATTACTTAAATATTTTACTGTTACGTAAGCAGATTTATTATTACAGTAGGCTTTCATGAGGCTAATTAACTATGGAGTTAGGGTTTAGTCAAGCAATGGGGTCTTCTTTTGTTGCTCCACAAGTGAAGGACTAGAAAACAAAGTCAACACATGTTTGTAGGGAAAACATAAAAAATAGGAATCTAACATACATTTCAACTAAATAAAAAAGATGAATCCATAAGCCCATGTGTATATTGTGAATGACTTACCAAAAAAGCTAGCAAAAGGATCCTGGCCACCAAAGAACTCTCTGAACACCTCATCTGGGTTGCGGAATGTGAAGGTGAATCCTGGGAAATCTGACGAAAAGTCTGAGCTGGAGGGACCTGGGAAATTGAGTCGTCAGGGTCAGGTGGGTGACCAGCAACCAGGGTAGAGAAAAAGTGAGAGAGTAAAATATATTAGGGGCCAGAAAGAAGGAAAAGTGAATGAAATGGAAGGTGCAGGGAGGTGGGAGGGAGGAGGATTGATATGATAGTTTTATAGCTAGAAAACAAAATTCTAATACACTTTCAATCCTCAAATGTAGCCTTTAGAAGTCACCACCATTCATGATTTGCAACAATATATAAACAACAACAACAACAACAACAACAACAACATATAAACATCTCCTAGCAGCAGGTTTTTATTTACCTGTGTGTCGCATTCTGTCATTTCCATATCGGTCATATTCATCACGCTTAGTCTCTGTAGTAGAAGAACAGAGTACAATCTAAGTGACAACATGAATACTTAGACACTAATACATGTCGCTCTCTTTTTTCTTATACAAACACCCAACACACATGCATTAAGTTTAATTAAAAATATAACTAATACGTTTCATTTTCGGTTTCTATGAATAAAGTTTCTCTCTGGGGAGGCTGACATCATCACACAAAGATTCAGATTCATGACTCACAGCATCAGTACAGATCATCCGCCAGTCATTTCACACACACACACACACACACACACACTCACACACACACACACACACTCACACACACACACACGCACACGCACACGCACACGCACACACACACACACACACACACACACATAAATATTTAAAGATACACACTGTCCTGACTTACTGTCAGAGAGGACTTCATAGGCCTCAGCTACTTCTTTGAACTTTCTCTCTGCCTCCTCCTTGTTGTCTGGATTTTTGTCTGGATGCCATTTCAGTGCCAGTTTCCTATATCTGAACACACAACACAAACATTGGCTCATAGATAGAACAACAACAACAACAACAACAACAACAACACATGCAATATGGAGAGCCTTGGAAAAATAGGACACCACTCTATATTTTCAAGAACAATAATATGTATTTTTCATACCAGCGGTTCTCAAACCTCTGTTTATGGTTTTAGTTACATGTATAAAGAGATGTTGTAATTTGGGTGTTTTGTCTCTTTTTTGTACATTTTAGTTTGAAACCAGATTCAAATGTGTATAAAATCCAGACAATAAAACTAAAAAAAAATCTTGATCCAGCCTCAAACTTTTTCAAGGCTTATATAATCTGGCCATGTTACAGTAAATTAAAAGTTACACTTTAAATATATTTTCATGAACTGTATTTTACATACACGTGGAATATTGCATTATTGTTTATAAATTAGTGTAAAAGACTCATTTAACACTTGAGACAGACTCCCAGGATACTCACGCTTTCTTGATATCGTCCTGAGAGGCTGTTCTGGACACTCCCAGGGTGTTATAGTAATCCACCATGTTGCGTCCTGTCACTTCTCACCACAACGCCCCTGAAAGGAAAATACAACTGAGTTTTCTTTTGAGTACAGAATATACTCAACTCTGACTGGACACACATATTTTGGATTTATTAAATCCATGTCTCTGAGAACAAACAAGTTTGGAAATTCTTGGTCACAATGGTATTTCCTGAAAATCCAAAAAAGGAAAAAGAAACAGCTCTGTACTCATTATTTAATGTAATTTGCAGACGAGTGGTCATATACAGCAGGGGCTGTCTTTGGCTAAAGAAGACAGCGTGTAATGTAAACATAGTTGTTTATCATTATGTACACTAAACGGTTGACAAATACACATTATGGAAACATGTCATTTCCTATTTTGGAATCAAAGGGTTTATAAACACATGGTTCACCCAACCCCACAAGCATTTTCACTCATGTTGCCTGTTTAGATCTTTTCTCAGGACTGCGTGGGCGTGAACAGACAAAACCTGATTGTCTCCCTCACTTATCCTGTTAGTTTAACTACATCTGTTAGATCAGGACAAAGATTGCTATTTCTACATGTTATTTAATGACATGATGCAATTCCAGTTTAAACCTGAGCAGAGAGCTAATCTGCCAGAGTAATTTAAACACCTGTGTGGTGGGTGATAATTAGTGTCCAAGTGACGATAATAAACTTTCTTCACAGCAGCCATTTTGATAATAAATAATGCTACCAATGATACACAGTGTCGGGGTGCTATATTGTGCATGCTGCCTCACTGTAGAGGCTCTGCTACACTAAATGAAATAAAAGGTCTATATTTGTTTATTCTCATTTTTGTTTCACGGTAAATTAAATTCACCTGTTTCACCAAGTTTTGCACATACATATTATCAGTTAATATGACGAGGATTATGGTGTAGCAGCTGTACTGTAAGGCACAACTTTCTTTAAATGTTACACACAAGAAATCAAGGTTAATTATTAATGAAATTATTTATTTTGTTCTGCACAAGCTAGGTTAGCTACAGATGGATGCACACACATTACATATCTCCTATTAACTTTTTTTTCTTTACTTTCTAACCTTTTTAAAATAAAATACCACTTAAGTACCTCAAAGTGCAATAACTAAGTGTGCCCTTGAAATGATAACGCCTCAGTACAGTCAGTGGTTCCCTTATAGCCACAGAGTCAGCATGCTAACCACCATGCCAATCTCATTAGTGGACTTCCAGGGGTATTTCCAAACTGAGGTAAAATAACTAACTTAACTTTCTATGCACCCTCGGGACCAGCCATGCACTCACACTCAAGTATTATTATTACTATGTTATTTCTAGCTTCGTGGCATCTGACAACTGCTGCTGACATGACGGTAGGCCCACACAAACTTACAGACAAGGGCAGATGTACTTGCAGGCACAGGTGCTGTCTATATTAAAGCACGTACCAGTAACATTAAAGGCTGCACTTTAAATTATTTGGTATTCCGGTTGACAGAATATGTCCTAATATGGTCAAGTTCGGACATCTGTAATAATAAACTGCAGTAAGCTACATTGTCTATTGACTGTGTGGGCAGCCACAACTTGTCACGACTAGATGAAGCTACGGACCTACCGTCTGAGTGTCTCAGCCTAATGAGGGAGCAGTTTAGCCGTCTGTCCACCGGTTTACAGCGACAATGAATTAGTTATGATAGAGGTGCGTCTGGAATCCGCTCTCCTTCTTCTTTTTCGTGACACACTCAGCCTCCTCCTCCTCCTCCTCCTTCTTCTTCTTCTTCTTCAGTCTTCCTCTCTCCACCGCCCTAACTCAAATACTCTTAACAACAACACAGTATGTCTGCAGTGTGTGCTGTACCGTTATGGCTCCGCGGTGTCAAGCCCTGTTTGCTGTGTCTGTCTGTCTGTCTGTCTGTCTGTCTGTGTGTGTGTGTGTGTGTGTGTGTGTGTCCGCTGGGTTAAGCTGCACGCGCTACGTCACTCAGCTGAGCGAGGAAAAAAAAAAAAAAAAAATAGAACGTCTAGAACATGCCAGTGTGTGAAACGTCATCAGACCAGCCCTGCCTCAACGGCTGCCTGTTGCCCAGCGATAACGGGGGTTTTTAAAAACCAGCAGTTTGTGATGGTAGCCATGGATACCTATTATGACCACCAGGCACTCCAAGGTGCGACATAGACAAAATTCCCAAGGACTGTGCTCCAAGTAAGTCCAGTTTTTAGGTTTTTGTTTGTTTTGTTCAATTTAATTCGAGGGGGGTTTATTGACATTGGAAACTTACCTTTGCAATGCCAAAGTGTAAAATATATGTATACACAGATTAGTAAAAAAAAATAAAATAAAAACGTAGACTTGTAGTTATAAAACGCAAATACAAATAAGTGAGAATTTACACAAAAATGTAAGTGTGTGTGTGTGTGTGTGTGTGTGTGTGTGTGTGTGTGTGTGTGTCTAAGTCATATTGGGCAGCAAAATCTCCTTCTCCTAGGATTATTATTTAGATCATTGAAATCTGGGATTGCACAGTTTTAATTTGTTAAAATAAATGTTCCCAATGTTTTACATTGTAGGTGATCCATCATGTCTCAACCTCACCTGTTGAACAGTGACCACATTATGTTTTCTTTTGATAGCCGTAGTCTTTTGTTTGTTTCTGCAGCTTTACTTCATTGCATTTATCTGACAGCCATAGTTACTTTACATCTAAAAATAATTTAAAAAATATGCTTCATTGGTACACTGAAGCACCCAAGGCTAATTAAAATCATGCCAATCTATTCTCAACCATCTGTACCTTTTTATTTATTATTATAAGTAATAATAATCAAATGACATAATCTGACAGGCGATGCTGCTGCACAAATGCTGCCCTAAAGTATATTTTACTATACTTAACATTTGAAATACTGTTACTTGAAATGGAATATTTTACACTGTGGTATTTCAGTACAGTATATTTAGTAGACCCGAGAAGTGTAACTTACCGGAAAGTAGGCTTTTAGTTCACTGTGTGACTCATCTGGTCAGGATCACATGATGAGCTCATCATGTAATGCCATAGTTATTTGGACTGGTCATGTCTGCACACTACAGTCTATGGACTAAACCAACTCACATAACTTTGCTAGCTGGTCACATTACTCCCATCTGGTGTCTGGAGGAAGCGACTGCAGGTACAAGACCCGCCCAGCCCAGCACAGCCCAGCCCATTGTGTACTTTGTGGCTAATCATCAACATGACACAAAAAGGCAGGAAATTGGCAAAGGCAGAGGAACTAGAATTTCCTTTGTAAATGAATGGAAGCTGCATGTAAACACAATCTGATATCCAGCAAAACACTGCTGGAAAAATCCCCTGTCCAACTATTTTGTCTACGTACATATACAGTTACCCGTCTAATTCTATTACCAGTTTTCTCTCCGAAAGCCAGGTATAATCTGTCACAGTTGTAAAAGTGAAATGCAAAGCTCATTAGTCTGAGATCATTCCAGATGACTCAGTATAAAAGGCTTATCAGTCTTTTAGGCTAGTAAGCTGTTTGACTATTGCTGTAGAAATTTACAATAAAATATTTGTCAAGCAGTGCTTTGCGAATTCAGAAATGATCACAAGTTCATTTAAAAGGTTCAGGAGAACTTTTTATTGATAATACTGATATATCATCACCACAGGTTATCAGAATGTTGCTGGGAATGTGTTAAGCTCATGATAACTTTTGGAATGGGTGATGGTAAAGCCCGGAGGATGTTTGGCCCCTCAATACTCCTCTCCCTCTTCATCCTCCTCTCCCATGCTGTCAGTGCCAACCTCCTCATAATCCTTCTCCAGGGCAGCCATATCTTCTCTGGCCTCTGAGAACTCTCCCTCCTCCATTCCCTCCCCAACATACCAGTGGACAAAGGCTCTCTTGGCATACATGAGGTCAAACTTGTGGTCGAGACGGGCCCAGGCCTCGGCGATGGCTGTGGTGTTGCTCAGCATGCACACAGCTCTCTGCACTTTGGCCAGGTCTCCTCCTGGAACCACAGTTGGAGGCTGGTAGTTGATGCCAACCTTGAAGCCTGTGGGACACCAGTCCACAAACTGGATGGTGCGTTTTGTTTTAATGGCTGCGATGGCAGAGTTGACATCTTTGGGCACCACATCACCACGATACAGCAGACAGCAGGCCATGTATTTACCATGACGAGGATCACACTTTACCATCTGATTGGCTGGCTCAAAGCAGGCATTGGTAATGTCAGCAACAGACAGCTGCTCATGGTAGGCTTTCTCAGCGGAGATGACTGGAGCATAGGTGGCCAGTGGGAAGTGGATACGAGGGTAGGGCACCAAGTTGGTCTGGAATTCTGTCAGGTCAACATTCAGGGCTCCATCAAAGCGAAGCGAGGCTGTGATTGAAGACACAATCTGGCCAATGAGCCTGTTCAGGTTGGTGTAAGTCGGCCTCTCGATATCAAGGTTCCTGCGGCAGATATCATAGATGGCTTCATTGTCCACCATGAAGGCACAGTCGGAGTGCTCCAGGGTAGTGTGGGTGGTCAGGATGGAGTTGTAAGGCTCAACCACTGCTGTGGAGACCTGGGGGGCTGGGTAGACGGCAAATTCAAGTTTTGATTTCTTTCCATAATCAACAGAGAGTCTCTCCATAAGCAGGGAGGTGAATCCTGAGCCAGTGCCTCCACCGAAGGAGTGGAAGATGAGGAATCCCTGCAGGCCAGTGCACTGATCAGCCTGAAAGGAAAATTTTCTTTGATTATTTAAAATCCCACTCCAGTGGGAAGGTATGGAATCACATGAAGGGTCACCATTGTGGTAATTTCTTAAAGATTTTTTAGTTTTTTTACTCCTTTGAGGAAAATAGACAAGCCTGCGCAAATGCTAAACCTGTCCAGCAAAATAACTAAACTCTCACCAATTTACGAGTCCTGTCGAGAACCAGATCAATAATCTCCTTGCCGATGGTGTAGTGCCCACGGGCGTAGTTATTGGCAGCATCCTCCTTTCCTGTAATCAGCTGCTCGGGGTGGAACAGCTGCCGGTAGGTTCCTGTGCGCACCTCATCTATGAAAGGAACAATTGAAAACAAGAGTAAGAGCTAACGTCCATGCAATATAAATGTTTCAAATATTACCTTTTCTCAGATACTATAATTAAATATTAAACATTTGAGCTGTAATACTTTGTTCTTGTTAAGTTGAAGTATAGTGTTTCACTAGGGGTATATATCTTCATAGAGGCAATGGAATAATTTATTAGCTCTATGAAAGACATATAAGTTCAATTATATTTACACAATATTGATTACTGACCAATGACAGTGGGTTCCAGGTCGACAAAGATGGCTCTGGGAACATGCTTTCCTGCTCCAGTCTCACTGAAGAAGGTGTTGAAGGAGTCATCTCCTCCTCCAATAGTCTTGTCACTGGGCATCTGTCCGTCTGGCTGGATCCCATGTTCCAGACAGTACAGCTCCCAGCATGCATTGCCCATCTGGGCTCCGGCTTGGCCGACATGCATAGAAATACACTCACGCTGAATAAAAGAGGGGAGAGAGGTTTGTTACAGGATGTAGCCGAATAATATGTTATCAGACATACATTCGCTATTCAAATTTAAGTATTACTGCATTGTCAAGACGAACTACTTTAAAAATAACTCCCATCAGCATTGAACAGTACATTCACAATGGCTGACTTTACAGTGTGATCACTGTGTAATAATTTGTAACAAATAAGGCAGGGAAACATAGAACATCACAGAATACATATGTATTTCATTACTGCCCTATGGCGCACATGTTCTTTCTTTAAACCTTATGTCTTTTGACAATCTTTGGTATGATGTCAGCACTCAGTTCAGAGAGGAAGAAATGTTGACTGCTGAATACTGTGGGCCAGAGCAGGCTGTTGAAGCTGTCAGCTGCTCAAAGCGCATAGAAGCAAACCATTATTTAAATGAAAGCAGCTATTAGACTGACCAGAGTCTGCACTATGGGTTGTTAGAGTGGAATCCAGCAAAAATGGGCAGGAAAAAAGCTACAGATGAAATGCAGTTTTGAAAGTTTTCTGATGACCATTTTTTGAAGGGGTTTCCCCCAAAAAGTGGAACATATTATACAAACTAAGGCAAAATGTGACAGGAAGGCCATGCCTCAAGAAGATGGGAAAACCTCCCCCACTTCTCCATCCTGTATCTCCTCCCTTTCCCCATCCCCTCCCCTTTTGTGTCTCTCTCCTCCCCCATCCTGTCCAGCTGCATAGTGCTGTGTAACAGTCAGGGATGGCTCCCTCCCTCTCTCTCTCTCTCTCTCTCTCTCTCTCTCTCTCTCTCTCTCTCTCTCTCTCCACATCTATCCCAAACCAAAAACTCCTAACAGCTGCAAAATGGCTGCCAACTAACTCATACGGCCTAGGCCAGACCACTCCTCTTTTCTCTGTTCTTTCTATCCATCCCCCCACTGCCACGATTACCCTGATCACTCTTTCTTTGTCAGGATTACTGTAATTCCTCAAGAAGCATGATTAAGACTACAGTTTTTTCCCTTTAGTTTCACATGTTTCCTGCTTTATGACTAACTACAGTACATCAAACAAGTATGAAAATGACAAAGCAGTCTAACTCATAAAGTGTCTGTCATCTGACCTAGATTGTCCAAGAGTACAGAAATGACTTATGGAGCCCCGTAGTCATTTGTAACTATCCCAGTGTATTACCCTCCCTAAATTCTCAACAGGCATGCCCTAAAAAGTTTCATTACATACATTCAGCTCAAAACTACTGTCACCTTATAAAGATAAAACTCCTTTTGTATGAATAACCTTCAACTCCGCAGCAGAAGCTTTATAAGCATTAAAGAGGGCCGGCTGATTAATCCATCTATTGCTAAGAAACAGAGACAAAGGGAGGCTGAAGGAAAGAGAGAATTGAAATTTCAAGGCTACGTCATCAGTTGAGCAGTTACTCACCATTTTGTCTGCTTGTCCTTTCGACTGACGTTGAGGATTCAGACACAAGGCAGAAGTGCGGAGGAGAGGGAGAGTCAGGGTTTATATAGGCAAGGATGTGGAGGGGGCAGGCTGGAAAAGCACAGCAAGCAGCTGCATAGCTCATGGGCGGGAGGGAACAGCAGTTTAAAAAAAAAAGAGGGAAGTGCCGAATACTGTCTGTCACTTTATCCGCCCTTAACATGTATCTACTTTTTCTTTCAGTTTGAGATTAGATGCTTATATGTATGCAAAACAAGCCCCTTTTCTCTTGTAATCACTTTTCCCCTATTTTTCAATTTGTGTATGCGTGTGTGTGTGTGTGTGTGTGTGTGTGTGTGTGTGTGTGTGTGTGACTGTGACCATTTGCAGTGAGGGACTATTCAGAGTTGTTTAATGACATAAAAAGCTTAAAGCTGGTTATTCTGGCAAATGCATGCAAAATGTTCTCCATGGAATATTTCTCAACATATAATACACATGCATTTAACAAGGACTGTGGGCTCTGAGAATCATTATGCTTATTTTATGCATGCTTTTGCACCCACACACTCATCAATATACGCACGCACAGTACACCCTGTGTTTGCATTCAATCATTAAATGAATAATGACACAATATCGATATGGAAACAAATTTAAGTTGATGAAATTCTTTATTCCTAATCCTTAAATGCAAATGACACATGCTTTAACAATAGGAAAAGTAGCAGTAAGACACAAGTGACATGGAAATATGCAGGGTTTCAGTTTGATCGGTTACTTCAGAGAAAAACAAACAAACAAAGAAATAGCACAATGGCACATTGAAATTAACACACCACTGAAATGTAAAAGATAAAAAACTTCCAAGATGTCAAGGCCATTTTCTGCTTATCCTTGGTAGAACTTTTGAACGGCCCTCGTAGGATATCAGAGCTGTGATTCATACACAACTGGGATCCTATTGTTGCTGCAGGCCACTGTCTGAGTATGAGCTACACAAACAACACTAGTCAGTGAGTTAGTCAGTTATTTTCTCTCTCTCTCTCTCTCTCTCTCTCTCTCTCTCTCTCTCTCTCTCCCGCACTCAGAGTCACAGCTGAATGGTATATAGAAACTGACATAGGAGCCCTTTCATAACTTACATTCCACATGGGAGAGGATAGTGGGGGGAGGTGCACAAAGGAGAGGGTTTGGTCTGTGATACAGCAGAATGAAAATATCTTTAAAGGCCCAAAACAAGATATGTTTGACCACAGGTTACTTTGCTTTAAAATGAAATACAGTGTTTTTACCCAGTATGACAACTAATGTTTTAAGGCTTTAAGATGCTCAGTTGAGATTTTGGATTAGGTTTGTTTCGTGAATGTGTCTCACTGTATGCAGAATGCATGTTCAGTAATGTAGAATGTCTCCTCAAAGTAAAACTTATTTAAGATAATAATAGGTTATTGAAATGTTGTTCTACCCAAATGATAGTACTGTTGGTTTATTAATAGATATAGATATATTTTTCTTCACTACAAAAACTAAATGTCCATTTATCAATTGTCAGTAAGTATCAATTAACTTTGGCTTAAACGTGTGCCTTGGAAAGTCAGTATTCCTCTCCTTCATCCTCTTCCCCTATGTTGTCAGTACCCACCTCTTCATAATCTTTCTCCAGGGCAGCCATATCCTCCCTAGCTTCTGCAAACTCTCCCTCCTCCATGCCCTCCCCAACATACCAGTGGACAAAGGCTCTCTTGGCATACATGAGGTCAAACTTGTGGTCGAGACGGGCCCAGGCCTCAGCAATGGCTGTGGTGTTGCTCAGCATGCACACAGCTCTCTGCACTTTGGCCAGGTCTCCTCCTGGAACCACAGTTGGAGGCTGGTAGTTGATGCCAACCTTGAAGCCTGTGGGGCACCAGTCCACAAACTGGATGCTGCGTTTGGTTTTAATGGCTGCGATGGCAGAGTTGACATCTTTGGGCACCACATCACCACGATACAGCAGACAGCAGGCCATGTATTTACCATGACGAGGATCACACTTTACCATCTGATTGGCTGGCTCAAAGCAGGTGTTGGTTATGTCAGCAACAGACAGCTGCTCATGGTAGGCTTTCTCAGCGGAGATGACTGGAGCATAGGTGGCCAGTGGGAAGTGGATACGAGGGTAGGGCACCAAGTTGGTCTGGAATTCTGTCAGGTCAACATTCAGGGCTCCATCAAAGCGAAGCGAGGCTGTGATTGAAGACACAATCTGGCCAATGAGCCTGTTCAGGTTGGTGTAAGTCGGCCTGTCGATATCAAGGTTCCTGCGGCAGATATCATAGATGGCTTCATTGTCCACCATGAAGGCACAGTCGGAGTGCTCCAGGGTAGTGTGGGTGGTCAGGATGGAGTTGTAAGGCTCAACCACGGCTGTGGAGACCTGGGGGGCTGGGTAAATGGCAAACTCAAGCTTAGACTTTTTACCATAATCAACAGAGAGTCTCTCCATCAGCAGGGAGGTAAAACCTGAGCCAGTGCCTCCACCGAAGGAGTGGAAGATGAGGAATCCCTGCAGGCCAGTGCACTGATCAGCCTATGGAAGTAAGAATGTTAAAATGAATTAACAATTAATTGAATCATTAATCTAGCAAAAAAAAAGTCAATATACTAAAAACATGCACTCTCAATACTCTCAAATTGTCTTACCAGTTTACGAGTCCTGTCCAGAACCAGATCAATGATCTCCTTGCCGATGGTGTAGTGTCCACGGGCGTAGTTGTTGGCAGCATCCTCCTTTCCTGTAATCAGCTGCTCAGGGTGGAACAGTTGACGGTAGGTTCCTGTGCGCACCTCATCTGGGGAAGAAGAGAAAATGTTTCTACAATGACAACTGTACAATGAAAGAAAACTTTCTGGTAATAAAAATCTTTTTTAACATGTTTCATATTGGAATTGTTTTCAATGTAAGCAAATGTAGTACAAATGTATACATATGGAAAATGCAATAACAAACAACACCAATGTTCATTTCATTTCAGAAAAAAAAAACATAGCTTTGCCAATAATAAAACTACAAATACATGAAAGCATCCTACAGTATGTTATATATCATCAGTTATATAACAGGCACTGACCAATGACAGTAGGTTCCAGGTCGACAAAGATGGCTCTGGGAACATGCTTCCCTGCCCCTGTCTCACTAAAAAAGGTGTTGAAGGAGTCATCTCCTCCTCCAGGAGTCTTTTCAGTGGGCATCTGTCCATCTGGCTGGATCCCATGTTCCAGACAGTACAGCTCCCAACATGCATTGCCAATCTGAGCCCCAGCTTGGCCCACATGAATGGAGATACATTCGCGCTGCAGGGAGTGAGCAACACCGTTCAATTACTAGAAGCATCTGTTTACTTTTCACATTTTTGCTACACAGATTTATTTTTAAACTACTTAAATCCAGTTATCATATTCTCTCTATCTGTCATGGACTGCAATACAACATTTTCTCTTAATGTAAAATATGTCACACTTAATAAAATCTTGATTAATTCTGAACAAATAAAGTACATTTCAAAATTGTTAATAAGTACAGTAGTATGCACTTAGTAAACCATATCTTACCATAGTTTATCTCTCTTCTCCAATGTCCAGGTATCGGTAAGAAGATGCACTGCTGGATATAGCTGTGTCACTCTGAGTTTTTATACCTGCAGCTTTAGGTGAACAGTGATTTGATCTGCGTTGTAATCAGAGAACCTACTGATGAGACCAGGATAAGGTCATCCGCTTGACAGACATAAACACAATGCAAAAGGAGGTCACCACCCTATTCATTGTGTGAAGCTGTGAGTGTTTTGTGCTGGTGTGTATGTGCACCTCATATTTCAGAAAGCAGAAGCAGAACCCCAGATGAGGGGAAGGTAGTGTAGTTTCATCTAACAATTTCTAGTACATGACTTTATGACAGCACAAAAAACACTCTGAGCCTGAGAAAGAACCCAGTTGCTTTAGTTTGTCACTGTCATATAACTATGTTACAGTTATTTACAGTTGTTGACTTTGTATGAATTTAAACACATTTGCTGAATCTATCAACTTTTTGCCTCCATATTCCTAATAAGGAAGTATATTAGCAAAATTTAGACCTTGATCTTCATGTAGATTTATTATTGTTCCTCCTTTGAAGAATATTTGTGTGGATATTCACATAAAATTAATGGTAAAAATAAGGTGAGACTGGGACATTTTCATTATATTGTATTTTTATGGAGACATTCTGCTAAATCTTCAAATTTGTAACATCTCTTCTGAATCTCAATTTTACACACTAAAAGGTTTATTAAAATGAAATACATCAAGTTTATCAAGCATACCATTTTCCCACACTCTCTTTCTGAACTGTCAGTCTTCACAAAGAAATACAATATATATAAGACCTGCTCCTCCTACCCTGTTAGTTCTTCAACCCCTCCAGGGAGTAGAGAAACTGAATACATGTGAATTGCTTCATAAGGCGTCAGTTGACTAAATGGAGCAAACAACAACTGCCTGTTAAGAGTAGTTTCATTCAGTTTTCATTCAGTCAACCACAGAAATAAAGTATAAATACAACAAAAAATGTATACAGTCTTGAGTGTCATTTCATTCAAGCCCAAAAAGCCATTCATATCCAGTATGTTGTGTAGTTCACATGTTCACAATTCTATTCAACATGAGTTTCAGTTGAGCAGCTGCCTGTTTCAGTTGGCAGGAATAACCTAAACTGATTATACAATGCTATGGCCCAAAGGCAAGATTGCTCAGCTCTATGATATTCAAAACAAGTCAAACCACTTTAAAGACCAGGCGGCATCCACTGTAATATCAGAACAGTTCAAACCAAATGGGAATGTTGATTCAGTATATGAATCACCATTGCAATAAACATCTTTATTTCCAACTGTATGCTTTATTATTTTCACCAAAAAAAAAAAAATTGTATGTCAATCAAAAGTGAAAATTAGACAGCAAGATAAACTGTATTTCACTGACTTTAATCCAGTTTGTTATGAACATATTTGTGGCATGCAGGAAGCTTTGGGTGATACCACAGCGACAACTGCGCTACTATTCTTTTTAAGGTCAGTTTCTCTCCTGAGGCTGTGAGACTCATCTGTAACAAAAAGGTAACTGATGTCAATATCACATCCTTTTAAAACAAAGCCCACAAAGACCAATGGAGTAAATTGTATACAATGTTCCTTTAAATGAGAACACATTGGTGTTGCATGTACATGCAGTGTTTTATTACCTTGTAGAGAAGACAGGGTGATTGTAATTCAAGCAATCATGCATTTCCTTTTTTTAATACTATACAACAATACAAAATATAGCAACACTTTTCAACCAAATCTTTATGTCTGGATCATGTTGCTGAAGTATGGTTACATGTCACTGTGACACACACCTTGCTGTTGTTTTCTTTCATGTGTTTTTCCCTCACAGGTGTAGCCTGAGTCATAAATCTGTCCCACTTCCATTGTTTGAGACTATAGTTCCCCAACGTCCCACAATTAAGCCTTTTTACTTATAGGTCATAATAATGCTGGTGCTGGCAAGAAGAGAAGGAGACCCAGAGCAGAACAAATATTGAGATAAAGAGATAGTTTGAGGTCATGAGAGATAAATGTAATGTAAATGGTATGGTACTTGACATTACAAATTAGAAGTTTATAACCCCAGTTTATACAGAAATCCAGGGTTGACAGACATACAAAAACACTTTGCAGAACCCACTGCAATGTAGTGGTGAAACAAAATGATTTCTGTTCCTAGTAGTCACATGACTCTGTCACACTGATAGTCACTTTTGTTCATTCAGTGAGTCACAGAGAAGCAACAACGACCTCTAGCTTTCAAATGGTTACAATGACAGCTCTTCCAGTAAAAGGGCTGGGCAGGGTTGGTGTTATGGATTAGTTTGCCCCAACCACAAGGTGGTGCATGACCCTTTCATACACATACATACATAACTCTTGCAAAGGGATCATTAATAACTGTAAACCAGGGTTATCAGTTGGCAAATCCTAAAGACTCTACTCTACATTTGCTGGATTAATTTAGTCCTTTTTAGACTTCTAAAGTGCCTCTGTCTATGCTCAGATCCAGGACTAAGTACTATTGTGACATGGTTTTCTTAAACTCTCAAACCTAAGTAGGACACCATATGTCCTCAGATGACATTACTGTCTTTCATAGGCTGTAGCAGGCTCAGTTTTAAAACTAGAGTTGAAGATACTGGCATCAAACTCAGTGACCTATCAGGATAGGGTCAAGTCATGCTAGCTTGTCAGAAAGGGGCTAAATAACATTCTACAGTTAGGGAACATACCAATTTGGGCAAAAAACAGGCCTTTTTTATAATGCAGTATAAATGTTCATGTTATATTCACTGTTCTATATGAAGTATTTGAATATCTCTGCATACTGGGGTCCCTAAACAGTATTGGAATTCCATAAATTGGGTATGACTGGAAAGCGAATACTTTTATGGATTCAATGAACCTAATTGTATTCAGTTGTGATGATGTTAGTCCCCATAGTAGCCATTTCATTGTAGTGAGACATTTTTTAAACTCGACCTCACTGTATAAAATGACCTATTTGTGACTTCATCTAACTACAACCACAAATTAGAGACCTACTTCATTCAGAGCATCTATAGCTTTCCAAGACATATTGGCAATAAGGGGGTTTCTGAGTAATTTCCAAAGAAATACATAGTGCTATCATTACAATTGCTGAATAACAGTTTTCCTGAAATCTCCAAATAAACAGTTTTTGATACCAAATCACAGCACACATTTTCTGTGGCCCTCCTAGAGCTCTTGGTGTCATGTGGTGTTTTGGAGGGATTTCTGGTTTTTTTTTTTTTTAGTTTTGCACCAAATCTGTGCAACAAATTGTATCATCAAACAATCAACAACTTATGAAATATAATTGTGTATGGGAATGGCCATCATATACTTCCATCATATTATCTTAGCCCTTTTACTCTCTAAACTTTCAGAATTTGAAAAAGCACCTATCCAAACAGGAACAACTAGACAGTGCTTCATGTTCCCAGCATTCAGATGCCTATACCACTTCTATGTGGCATAAATTGTTGACCTGCTATCTTTCCCCTGATGAGATCCCCTGTCACCCCTTAAAAAGTAAAAACTAGGTCTATTGCAGAGAGGAGTGGAGTGTTTCCTTCAGCTGTCTCCTGCCACGCATTTTCCCCATCCTATAGATGCTTATAGATGCATGTGAGAGATTCTACAATATAACAAAAATAAAAGAATCAGAATCAAAATCGGCTTTGTTGCCAAGTAAATTTTTACACGTACATGTAACGTGCATGACCCAGAGTCCTAGAGGCGTACAGGTCTTGGAGGGAAGGCAGATTGCAGCCGATCACCTTCTCAGCGCACCGAATGATACACTGCAGGCTGCCCTTGTCCTTGGCAGTGGCAGCAGCGTACCAGCGTGGTGATGGAGGAGGTGAGGATGGACTCGATGGTGGCCGGGGGACTTACGAGACAAATGGATAGCACCAGAAGTGCACCATCATCGTCTTTGGCTGGTTAAACTTCCCCTGGCTGCCGCAGGAAGTGCATCCTCCTTTTTTGAAATAATATGTTTTCCAAGTGGCACGCGCTCCCAGTGCGCGTTCACGTCCCAGAGACAGGTGGGAGTGGTTTGCAGTTGAATATAGCGGGACAGCTCTTCGCCCATCCGGCAATACGTACTCACTCGGACCACATTGACGGCTGCTGTGAGAAGCTACACAAAGGCTAAAGCCAGTTTCACGGTTATATTCTCTCAAAGGACTTTCTACTAAAAAGCCACTATGGTACGTATATTTATTTTTATCCGCAGATAAATGCCCACTGCACAGTTCAGTTAATCTTGCAAAACTAGGTAAATATTAATTATTTCGTTTTTTTTTTTTTTTTTTTTTTTTTTAAACTATTGTGCGTCAGTGTATCTTCTTTGTGTTTAAACGTGCTTTGACAATGCGCAGTGTAAAGATGCAGTGTGACTGAACTGCTCCCTCTGTGCCCAATTGTATTTGGCTGCGTCACATAGACTCGACGACTTGCAGTAACGCTGAGCCGGCTGATGGCCTGCATACGCAGGTGGTAATGATTGGGCTACATTGTCAGCACATCAGGAAAGAGAGACATGAAACAAAGATGATGTATACAAAATATTGTGTTTTTTCTTGCATTAATGTATCAGTGTATCAGTATTTATCAGATTATGTGCAACAACTGATTGATTCTCTCAAATTAGAATATTTATAATGCTTCATTCTTTGCTACCAGGTTATTGGGTGTGTGAGACTGCACATTCATACATGTGTGTCTTATCGATCAACAAGTCAGCACAGATTGAGACGAGTCAAGTGTTGAAAGAATCTTTCTCTATCCCATTTCAGAAAGCCATGATGGTAAAGTTGTAACAGGGACTATTTGCAAATTATATGAATTTTGGCTTGGCCTAGGCTTTTTTTAAAACTTAAAACAATTTGAAAGTGGCTTCTAGTCTAGACAGAAAGCAAAGGGTCCTTCTTATTCATAGTGAAATAGGACTAATTAGGGATGCACGATAACTTCTTTATAAACTGACTTTCAGCCCCTAAAGGCCGATAACGCATCTATCTATCTGATCATGACCAAAGATCATGACATTAATACTATGAACAAACCCCAAAACACGTTTGACTCTTTAAATGGAGATATTTATTTTTTCCAATGAAAATTAATCCTCTCAAAAGAAAAAGGCCCCTTGAACTGATGCAAATACATGCATCGAAATTACAAACTAAAAAAGTACATTCCAGAAGTGCATTCCTCAATAACAATAAATAAAATGTGGATAATGCACTGACACGTGCTACTTTTACCTCCTCGTGGAACTTGCTTGATTTGTTACAAATAAAACGGCGACCTGTCTTCTTGAGAAACTCTGTAAAAGTCCCACACAATCGACGCCATGTTGTCTGTTTTCAAACGTAAGCACGCTGTGCTGCATTCAGGGGGGGACGGAAATTCCCTCTTCCCACGTTTGCTAGTCGTTCTTTCGGCCTTTTAGTTTATGTTTCTATTGTTTATGTGTAACATGTGGAAAAATACTGTGGATATCAATTCAAGTCAGCAACTACCAAAATTATGACCGAGTTAACGAGATCTTTTCCGACATGAGGGGGTATTCTTGAATTTTCCCAGTCATATAGAGTTTTTCGGATTATGCCAATATCACTTGAACGCAGCACTCACTGCAGGCCATTCAGGTCTCAAAGTGGGAGCGGGGCCCTGCCTTGCTGACAACATTATATATGTTATCGGGGCTATTCGTCATGATATCAGACTTATCGGAATGACGTAATAATTTCCTGTTAGCGGCCCGATAATTAAAGTGCACCCCTACTTTTTACAGTACAGTTATACCATAAAGCAGTTCATCTCATTGATTTGCAACTCTGCTAGCAATACCACCAGAGATGTTTAAGTAGCTACCATTGTGTTGAAGGTATGGTAATAATCTCTGATGGTTGAGAACTTTATTCCTTTTTCAGTGCATATATAAATATTTATATCATCACATTGCACAAACATGCTCTGAGCCTCAATCAGTTCAAAGAAAATCTGTTGTGCTGAACATATCCAAGTAAAAGAAAAATGAAACTCACAAACACAGACTTGTATAGCCAGACGGTCATTTAGTATATCTCTCGGACAATATTGTAGGGAGAGGCTAATGCAAATACAGAGATGCATATAAAGTGTAATAAAATCCTGGCTAAGATTTAATGGAGGTTTTTCAGAATTGTCGCTTGATAAAATGCATATCAATACTGCTGGGCAACTAAAACCTCAAGTGCCTTATTTGAAAGCCCTAGAAGATCTGTCTAATGTAATGAGTAAAAACAACAACATATGTAGTTAAAAGTGTTGTTTGATGGACGCCTGGTTAGCTCAGTGGGTAGAGCTGGTGACCCATGTACTGAGGCTCAGTCCTTGCTGCAGCGGCCCAGGGTTCGGATCCGACCTGCGGCCCTTTGCTGCGTGTCATCCTCTCTCTCTGCCCCCCCTCCTTCCCTTCTATCTTCAGCTGTCTCTATCATGAAGGCAATAAAAAGCCCCAAAAATACATAATAATAATATTTTTTTATATATATATATATATATATATATTGTTTGATTCTTTTGGTCATTCCATTAGTTGTGTATTTTTGTTTGAGTCATCTTCTTTCTCTGAACTCGACCTCCATTTCAGCTCATGAGCCTTGGTCACATGAGGTCTGGTGACAGCTGCAGCAAATCTGTTTTGCTTTCAACTTCAACCTTCTTTTCCCCAAATAACTCTTTGCTTCCACCTGGTAGCAGAGTTTCTAAATTATACCTTCCTCATTACTTTATCTGTAGCACATGATAAAATAAATGTGTTAATATTTTCCCAAGCTCTCTTAACGTAAAAAGAACAACACACAGTTGCTAAGAGAACATTGCCTCCTCTGTATTTCCCTTCTCTCCTTTATTTAACCTCTTCTTCCCCTCTTGCAGCGTGAATGCATCTCTGTCCATGTAGGCCAGGCCGGTGTCCAGATGGGGAACACCTGCTGGGAGCTCTACTGTCTGGAACATGGCATTCAGCCGGACGGTCAGATGCCCAGCAACAAGCCCGTGGGAGGCCACAACGACTCCTTCACCACCTTTTTCAGTGACACTGGGGCTGGGAAGTATGTCCCCAGAGCAATCTTTGTTGACCTGGAACCCACTGTCATTGGTCAGTAGTGGAGCTTGTTGTGTTTTTAGCTATCAGGAATGAGACATTTCAGAAGATGGTAGCATCACCGTTGCAAGATAGAGATTTTGTGTGAAAATTGAGGGAAGATATTCTAATCATCCATCTGTTTTTATGTTCTGCATGGTGTAATAGCTTACAGAGTGAGGTGTCTTAGTGAGCCTGCAAAATTATTCTAATATATTATTGATTTATCCACTAATAGCACTTCCTCTAACGGACAAATTAGTTTTCTTTACAAATGTCTTTTTTAATTTTCCAGATGAGGTGCGCACAGGAACATACCGTCAACTCTTTCACCCTGAGCAGATGATCTCTGGAAAGGAAGATGCAGCCAACAATTACGCCCGTGGGCACTACACAATCGGCAAGGAGGTTATTGACCTCGTCATGGACAGAATCCGCAAACTGGTAAGGCACTACTAGGGGTAGTCCTCAGGTTTTTATTCACGTTTACACTGGCTTTGACATAGCGCCATACCATTAACCACTCATTTTCATGAATCCATGCACTGAAAACAACCAGATGTGCATGCAGACTTTCACTCAGCTGCACTCATTCATTGTATAACATGGCTAAAAGATCAGTGAACGAACTTGAGCATGGATAAGTGATATGATCTGAGCAATGCTTTTCTTGTTGTTTTTTTTCTGTCTGTAGGCTGATCAGTGCACTGGTCTCCAAGGCTTCCTGGTCTTCCACTCTTTTGGGGGAGGAACTGGCTCTGGCTTTACCTCCCTGCTGATGGAGAGACTCTCTGTTGACTTTGGCAAGAAGTCGAAGCTTGAGTTTGCCATTTACCCAGCCCCCCAGGTCTCCACAGCTGTGGTTGAGCCTTACAACTCCATCCTGACCACCCATACCACCCTGGAGCACTCCGACTGTGCCTTCATGGTGGACAACGAGGCCATCTACGACATCTGCCACAGGAACCTCGATATTGAGCGCCCATCATACACCAACCTGAACAGGCTCATCAGCCAGATAGTCTCGTCCATAACGGCCTCTCTTCGCTTCGATGGAGCCCTGAATGTTGACCTGACAGAGTTCCAGACCAACTTGGTGCCCTACCCTCGTATCCACTTCCCCCTGGTCACCTATGCTCCCGTCATCTCCGCTGAGAGAGCCTACCATGAGCAGCTGTCTGTTGCTGAAATCACAAATTCGTGCTTTGAGCCAGCCAATCAGATGGTAAAGTGTGATCCTCGTCATGGTAAATACATGGCCTGCTGTCTGCTGTATCGTGGTGATGTGGTGCCCAAAGATGTCAACTCTGCCATCGCAGCCATTAAAACCAAACGCACCATCCAGTTTGTGGACTGGTGCCCCACAGGCTTCAAGGTTGGCATCAACTACCAGCCTCCAACTGTGGTTCCAGGAGGAGACCTGGCCAAAGTGCAGAGAGCTGTGTGCATGCTGAGCAACACCACAGCCATCGCCGAGGCCTGGGCCCGTCTCGACCACAAGTTTGACCTCATGTATGCCAAGAGAGCCTTTGTCCACTGGTATGTTGGGGAGGGCATGGAGGAGGGAGAATTCTCAGAGGCCAGAGAAGATATGGCTGCCCTGGAGAAGGATTATGAAGAGGTTGGGGTTGACTCAATCGAAGAAGAAGAAGAAGAAGAAGAAGGAGGGGAATATTAGACAGGGTTAGCTGCCATTTGCTGCCAGTTATTTTCAGGGACAAAATGAGTCAATTTATTAAAAATATTTAAGAAATATTTTGCATATTAGTTTCAAATTCAGAAATATTTGTTTTGTTTCTTTAATTTACCTTTTTTAAAATTAAATTGAACATACCTGTCTGGGTCCTGAGGTTATTTCTTTGTTGTGCAGAAAATTTATTATTTTTGACGGGACATAGATAACCTGAAGCTGGAAACCCTCATGGCTCAAAGGCAAGATTGCTCAGCTCTGATATTCAAAACAAGTCAAACCACTTTAAAGACCAGGCGGCATCCACTGTAATATCAGAGTTCAAACCAAATGGGAATGTTTAAGTATATGAATCACCATTGCAATAAACATCTTTATTTCCAACTGTATGCTTTATTATTTTCACTAATGTCAATCAAAAGTGAAAATTTGACTTGCACAGTAGCAAGATCAACTGTATCTCACTGACTTAAATCCAGTTTTTTTTTAAACATTTGTGGCATGCAGGAAGCTATGGGTGATACCACAGCGACAACTGTGCTACTATTCTTTTTAAGGTCAGTTTCTCTCCTGAGGCTGTGAGACTCATCTGTAACAAAAAGGTAATTGATGTCAATATCACATCCTTTTAAAACAAAGCCCACAAAGACCAATGGTGTAAATTGTATACAATGTTACTTTAAATGAGAACACATTGGTGTTTAACACATGTACATGCAGTGTTTTATTACCTTGTAGAGAAGACAGGGTGATTGTAATTCAAGCAATCATGCATTTCCTTTTTTTAATCCTATACAATACAAAATATAGCAACACTTTCCAACCAAATCTTTGTCTGGATCATGTTGCTGAAGTATGGTTACATGTCACTGTGACACACACCTTGCTGTTGTTTTCTTTCATGTGTTTTTCCCTCATAGGTGTAGCCTGAGTCATAAATCTGTCCCACTTCCATTGTTTGAGACTAGAGTTCCCCAACGTCCCACAATTAAGCCTTTTTACTTATAGGTCATAATAATGCTGGTGCTGGCAAGAAGAGAAGGAGACCCAGAGCAGAACAAATATTGAGATAAAGAGATAGTTTGAGGTCATGAGAGATAAATGTAATGTAAATGGTATGGTACTTAACATTACAAATTAGAAGTTTATAACCCCAGTTTATACAGAAATCCAGGGTTGACAGACATACAAAAACACTTTGCAGAACCCACTGCAATGTAGTGGTGAAACAAAATGATTTCTGTTCCTAGTAGTCACATGACTGTCTGTCACACTGATAGTCACTTTTGTTCATTCAGTGAGTCACAGAGAAGCAACAACGACCTCTAGCTTTCAAATGGTTACAATGACAGCTCTTCCAGTAAAAGGGCTGGGCAGGGTTGGTGTTATGGATTAGTTTGCCCCAACCACAAGGTGGTGCATGACCCTTTCATACACATACATACATAACTCTTGCAAAGGGATCATTAATAACTGTAAACCAGGGTTATCAGTTGGCAAATCCTAAAAGACTCTACTCTACATTTGCTGGATAAAGTGCCTCTGTCTATGCTCAGATCCAGGACTAAGTACTATTTTGACATGGTTTTCTTAAGCTCTCAAACTTAAGTAGGACACCATATGTCCTCAGATGACATTACTGTCTTTCATAGGCTGTAGCAGGCTCAGTTTTAAAACTAGAGTTGAAGATACTGGCATCAAACTCAGTGACCTATCAGGATAGGGTCAAGTCATGCTAGCTTGTCAGAAAGGGGCTAAATAACATTCTACAGTTAGGGAACATGCCAATTTGGGCAAAAAACAGGCCTTTTTTATAATGCAGTATAAATGTTCATGTTATATTCACTGTTCTATATGGAGTATTTGAATATCTCTGCATACTGGGGTCTCTAAACAGTATTGGAATTCCATAAATTGGGTATGACTGGAAAGCGAATACTTTTATGGATTCAATGAACCTAATTGTATTCAGTTGTGATGATGTTAGTCCCCATAGTAGCCATTTCATTGTAGTGAGACATTTTTTAAACTCGACCTCACTGTGTAAAATGACCCATTTGTGACTTCATCTAACTACAACCACAAATTAGAGACCTACTTCATTCAGAGCATCTATAGCTTTCCAAGACATATTGGCAATAAGGAGGTTTCTGAGTAATTTCCAAAGAAATACGTAGTGCTATCATTACAATTGCTGAATGACAGTTTTCCTGAAATCTCCAAATAAACAGTTTTTGATACCAAATCACAGCACACATTTTCTGTGGTGTTCCTAGAACTCTTGGTGTCATGTGGTGTTTTGGAGGGATTGCTGGCCTTTTCTATCAATTCTGAGTGATCAGAAGTGAAGTTTTGCACCAAATCTGTGCAACATGACCCAGAGTCCTAGAGGCGTACAGGTCTTGGAGGGAAGGCAGATTGCAGCCGATCACCTTCTCAGCGCACCGAATGATACACTGCAGTCTGCCCTTGTCCTTGGCAGTGGCAGCAGCGTACCAGCGTGGTGATGGAGGAGGTGTAGAAGTGCACCATCATCCTCTAGCTGCCGCAGGAAGTGCATCCTCCTTTTTTTGTACCACCAAATGGCACGCGCGCTCCCAGTGCGCGTTCACGTCCCAGAGACAGGTGGGAGTGGTTTGCAGTTGATTATAGCGCGACAGCTCTTCGCCCATCCGGCAATACGTACTCACTCGGACCACATTGACGGCTGCTGTGAGAAGCTACACAAAGGCTAAAGCCAGTTTCACGGTTATATTCTCTCAAAGGACTTTCTACTAAAAAGCCACTATGGTACGTATATTTATTTTTATCTGCAGATAAATGCCCACTGCACAGTTCAGTTAATCTTGCAAAACCGGGTAAATATTACCTCAGCAGTTTTTTTTTTTTTTACCAGTGTGCGTTAGTGATTATCTGTGTTTAAACGTGCTTTGACAATGCACAGAATAAAGATGCAGTGTGTGAATGTGCACTGCTCCCTCTGTGCCCTCTTGTATTTGGCTGCGTCACAAATACACTTGACGACTTGCAGTAACGCTGAGCCGGCTGATGGCCTGCATACGCAGGTGGTAATGATTGGGCTACATTGTCAGCACATCAGGAAAGAGAGACATGAAACAAAGATGATGTATACAAAATATTGTGTTTTTTTCTTGCATTTCTTGCATCAGTATATATTAGTATCTATCAGATTATGTGCAACAACTGATTGATTCTCTCAAATTAGAATATTTATAATGCTTTATTCTTTGCTACCAGGTTTTTGGGTGTGTGAGACTGCACATTCATACATATGAGTGAGGAATTCAGGTGTGTCTCATTGATCAACAAGTCAGCACAGATTGAGACTTCACATGTCATGATAGCACTCTATTCAAAAGAGAAGCTTACCTCTGAGGCATTAATGAGCCCAGCAAATGTCATGAGCCCAACCAATTCCTGTATATTGTGTGCAATGGTGGTTCTTGTGTTGTACTGCCTGAACTTGCTGCATATGTCCCAGTCTGACTTTTTCATCTTTGGCATGTAGCTTTTTGAGATAGGATGATAGTCTTTTTTTTTTTTTTTTTTTTTACTGTTGGAAAACAGCAGTAGAGACCTGGAGGTAGACAGATTTCTAATAGTGTGCCAGTGAGTGCTTATCACCATCACCACAGGGGAGACTACAGAGTTATTTATTATTTATCACAATCAATAGTGTTCATTCTTGGCCATGAATATCCACATCAAACTGTATTCTGGGCATTAGTTTACAGCTCACAAATTTGATCTAAGAGGAAAGGGCATTTAATTAGGGAGCATGAACATGTTCTATATGGTAATTCCACTGTTTTCTACTTTGAGAACACACACACACACACACACACAGCGAGTTGCAAAGTTGACCAGTGTGAGCTTCAGTGTCGGTCCATCAAAATTAAAATAATTCTCTAGCACACCATGCTTTATTCAGTTTTTGACACAAATTTTCAAGGGGAGATTTTTGTCTGCGGGAGGCAAGTGACGAAAGGTCAAAGGATATATTAAGGGTCCTCCGTTTAGCATTGTGAATATATCCACAATAGATTAATTCATGCCAGAGCACTTGTTGGATACAAAGTTGACAGTCTGACCTTGGGGTTGGCAAAAGTTAAATATCCATAACCAAACATCCTGTCAGTCTGGCCTGTAGATGTAGACAGAAATCTGTTGTGCTGAACATATCCAAGTACAAGAAAAATTAAACTCACACAAAATCGGACATGTATAGCCGGACGGTCATGTAGTATATCTCTGGGCAAATATTGTAGGGAGAGGCTAATGCAAATACAGAGATGCATGTAAAGTGTAATAAAGTCCTGGCTAAGATTTAATGGAGGTTTTTCAGAATCGTCGCTTGATAAAATGCATATTAATACTGCTGGGCAACTAAAACCTCCAGTGCCTTATTTGAATGTCTAATGTCTTCTGTAAAATAATAGCGGGAAAAAACAACACCACATGTAGTTAAAATATTGTGTGATTCTTTTGGTCATTCCATTAGTTGTGTATTTTTGTTTGAGTCATCTTCTTTCTCTGAACTCGACCTCCATTTCAGCTCATGAGCCTTGGTCACATGAGGTCTGGTGACAGCTGCAGCAAATCTGTTTTGCTTTCAACTTCAACCTTCTTTCCCCCAAATAACTCTTTGCTTCCACCTGGTAGCAGAGTTTCTAAATTATACCTTCCTCATTACTTTAACTGTAGCACATGATAAAATAAATGTGTTAATATTTTCCCAAGCTCTCTTAACGTAGAAAGAACAACACACAGTTGCTAAGAGAACATTGCCTCCTCTGTATTTCCCTTCTCTCCTTTATTTAACCTCTTCTTCCCCTCTTGCAGCGTGAATGCATCTCTGTCCATGTAGGCCAGGCCGGTGTCCAGATGGGGAACACCTGCTGGGAGCTCTACTGTCTGGAACATGGCATTCAGCCGGACGGTCAGATGCCCAGCAACAAGCCCGTGGGAGGCCACGACGACTCCTTCACCACCTTTTTCAGTGACACTGGGGCTGGGAAGTATGTCCCCAGAGCAATCTTTGTTGACCTGGAACCCACTGTCATTGGTCAGTAGTGTTGTGATGTGGAGCTTGTTGTGTTTTTAGCTATCAGGAATGAGACATTTCAGAAGATGGTAGCATCACCGTTGCAAGATAGAGATTTTGTGTGAAAATTGAGGGAAGATATTCTAATCATCTATCTGTTTTTATGTTCTGCATGGTGTAATAGCTTACAGAGTGAGGTGTCTTAGTGAGCCTGCAAAATTATTCTAATATATTATTGATTTATCCACTAATAGCACTTACTCTAACGGACAAATTAGTTTTCTTTACAAATGTCTTTTTCAATTTTCCAGATGAGGTG